CTCACAAAATAACAATCGTTGTGTTTTTTTAAATGTGCCAAGATATACCTTACATACTGGACATGTATCGTGATACTCCTTATTTCCATCTGAATCGAATAGTTTATCAACCTGATAAGTATTCTCGGGAAGAATTTTGTTATTCATAAACATATTTTGCATTTTAAACATATCTACTAATCCTGCGTTTGGTACATGATATTTTTTGCAAAATTTCATTATAAATAATAGCATTTCTATTTTACTAACACATACACTCCCGCCCAATAATCTTTGCCCACCTGAGAACAAAACGACTATAACTTTGAAACTCCATATCTCGGCTGGAAATACACCTACAGAGCTCTACGGGAGCTCATTTGAAAGGGTTTTTCGAGCACTTTTCAATGGTGTATATTAAAATCATGCTTAGATATTTTCCTTGCAGATAGGGCGGCGAATATCAAAACAAAAATTACGAAATTTTTGCTTTTTCTTTAACCGCTTGCCATTTCAAGAAAAAAAATCGTCGAAAAATTTTAAACATAGCATGTTTTAGCTCTTTTTCTGCACTATCCAAAACACTCATTCAAAAATAATTTTCGTCTAAATTCAGCGATTATATGAGCATTTCATTCAAAAACAGCAATCGTTTCCGCGGTCTACCAGAGCGCTTCTTGTCTTCAAAACTGCAGCTACTTTTAAATTTATTTACATTGTAGTCTACGGTTCGACGAGGAATATTGAGAATACTAGCAATCTGACGATTGTTTTTACCATTTATGTGAAATCCAATAACTTGATAACGTTTACTAAAATCTCTCGGTGCCATACTTCAATAATATGTTACTATGGTAAACAATTTTTTAGAAGATTAGAACAACATTAAAAATAAAATTTTTTTCACTAATCATTAGTTATGTCAGTTTTGGTAGATAGATTAATTTTTCTACTTAGATTTTTCGTTGATCGAGATTTGCATACAATTAAAATTTGTCTACAATTAATAGAATAGCTTCGAGTATAAATGATCTGTTTTATTATTCCAAAGTGAAATATTGAAAAAATTAGACTACTTGATATTACGACTGAAAAAAAAATGTTTTCATATGATTATGAAATTTCGTTCACGTATTCTACTTACAAAATAGAGCATTTTCTTCCAAGAAAATTTTTTTCTACAATTCGAATTTTCCGAGATACAGAGCAATGAATATAGATGCTGTTTTTGAATGAAATGCTCATATAATCGCTGAATTTAGACGAAAATTATTTTTGAATGAGTGTTTTGGATAGTGCAGACAAAGAGCTAAAAAAAGCTATGTTTAGAATTTTTCTACGATTTTTTTTCTCGAAATGGCAAGCGGTTAAAGAAAAAGCAAAAATTTTGTAATTTTTGTTTTGATATTCGCCGCCCTATCTGCAAGGGAAATATCTAAGCATGATTTTAATATACACCATTGAAAAGTGCTTGAAAAACCCTTTCAAATGAGCTCCCGTAGAGCTCTGTAGGTGTATTTTCAGCCGAGATATGGAGTTTCAAAGTTATAGTTGTTTTGTTCTTAGGTAGGCAAAGATTATTGGGCGGGAGTGTATCTGTGCATTGAGACATTCATGAGCTGTTTCATTTTCCAGGAGTTCATCTAATTTATGAAATTGACTTTCAGGCATCTCATATTGATTTAAATCTTCCTCGTCACTACTACTATCAGAGTAGTCATCAGCATCAAGTGGAATGTGGTCGTAGCCCTATAATAAATAAATAGATTACTATAGTATTTTATACAAATGATAATAGAATTATCTGAAAAATAAATGCTTATTTTGATAATAATGATCGATAATATATAATTAATAAATAACATTGACTTAAATGACATTCGCATATCAATCCATTCATGTCATTTATAGCACATTACTCAGTAAGGGAGTGAGTAAAGAAGCTCTATGGAATAAAATCCAACTGGAAATCCAACTTGGGTTTCCAGGTAGATTTCCAGTTCGATAGACGTGGATTCCACTTGGATTCCAGCTGGATTTTGAGCTGATTTCTAGGTGGATTATTTAGATAAATCCATATGGATTTTGTACGTTCTTTTGTACTAAAAATATTTATAAAAACCTTCCCTAGTCAAAAAATCCACCTGGAAATCCAACATGGATATCCACCTGGAATCCAAGTGGAATCCAGGTTGATCCAGCTGGAAATCCAACTGGATATCTAGCTGGAAATCCAGGCTGGATAGCCTCAGGCAGTAGCGAATGTGATTAGTGAGTAAGAGATCCCTGGTTTTTGATTGATTGATTCGTATTGATGATTATATTGCAGTTACAAAAATAAAATGTAATATTTTTATCTGAATCAGTTATATTTAATAAATTAATTTAATTTGCAAATTCCTCGTCGATGCTGGAGCAGATATTACAACATTCAAGAGATATGGATGATGAAAATCAAGCACATTGGCAGACGGCTATATGAAAATGTAATTTTAAATAAAAAAGAATTAGATAATGCAGACGAAAATCTAATTATATTTCATTTTTATAACTGCAATTCAATCATCAATGTGACTGTAAAAAATAACACTTTATTTTAATACGAGACTGGGTATAGGGTCATTATATATTTGCTTCTTTACTTTACTTTACTTTCTAGACTTAAGGTATATTAAATTCAAAACTGTTTTCTGCATATTCGAATCTAAACTGAAGTTCTAAAACTAATATTTTTAATTTTTATGTATCCTATATAGTTTATTGTTTTCTTAAATTTATTTTCAACAGAAATTATGAGTTTGAAAATACTAATTTTCAAAAATGTTATGAGGAAGAAAGATTGTTAAAAAATATTTTTAACTGTCAATCACCTGTTTCTTTCAACACAGTAATATAAACATCTATTATTGAATTATTAGTTCTGTTGACAAAATGATTTAAATAAAATAAAAGAAATGATTATTTTTGTATTTGCTATATACAATAATTCATGTTGATATATATTTTTTGTTTTTTTACACTTTTCAATGCTAACAAAGATTCTATTATTTTAAAACATCTTTGGTATATGTTGCTGGTAACCCTACTAAAAAAATCCTTTATGAATCTGCTCTGAAATCAGTTCTGATTTTTCTCTGATTATGTTCTGAATAAGTTCTGATAGTGTTCTGAAACTGCTCTGATGTTGTTCTGATTTTGTCCGAAATCGCAGCTCTGAATCAGAGCACAATCGGAGCAAAATCAGAGCAAAATCAGAGCAAAATCAGAGCACTATCGGAACTGATTCAGATCATAATCAGAGCTGAAAACAATATATGGAAACTATGAATAAGGTATCCAATTTATTATTTATAAAATAAACAATTATTTATTATTATTTCCATTGTTGTTAATCCAATCAACATTTTTTATTAATCATTATTATGTTTGAAAGAAATAAGAAAAAATAATTTGGGTACGAAATAAAATACACATTTTTTTATTTTATAATTTTTCATCGTGTAGAGATTTATTTAAATATGTAGAAGAAGCATATGTAGAAAATATATTCATTTATAACATTTAAAAAAAATTTTTAATATTTTATATATTGTTTGGTACGTAATATTTTCGACATGTACAATATTTTTAAAGAAACCAAAAACATACATAGCATTTAACGCGGTGAGTACATATAATAAACATGATTGTACAAAATTTATTAAAACTAAATATTATTACAGTGACATTACGTTGAATAAGTGTATTTACATACTACCACAAATATCAATAAAAACTTTCATGTTTGTGTTGAACGTAGTTCTAATATACAATAATATAAATAATAGATGATAATCGACGAAAAAACATATGCATAGTTAATCGCAAATCCACAAAGCAGTAAATTTTGATACATAATGAAAGTGTTACATAATACGATAATTCGCGATCTAAATAATACATTAATGGTATATTTTTGTTTCTTCATTTTCTTAAAAAAGTTACATTAATAATGAAGATCATTAGGCACTGCACTAAAATACATACCAGACGGCGTATTTACAAGTATAGCAATGCATATTATATGATTAGTTTCAATTACTTTTTCTGTTTTTTCAATATTAGTAATTTTCACAATGTTAAAACAATTCTCGAACGATATTTTTGTATGTATATGGTTATACAATGCAAATTCCATTTTTTTTTCCATCGACTACAAATTTTACCAATTTAATAAAATATCCATGTTTATTCAACGCGAAACAGTTTTTCGAACGATTTGTTTTCAATTGGTCGGTCGTGAATACACAGTTGTTCTTAATCATTTTGTTAAAGGATTTCGTTTCATTTTCAGTGAGTTTGAGCATTTCAATTGTGGACTTGTCAGTAAAATTTGATTTACCGAAATACCTATTATCATTTACTGTAACAGAATTATCTGTACATTTATTGTTAAGTTTATTAACGAATTCTATCACTGGCGAATATTCATAATTTTTCAATACATGTTTTTCTAACTGTATAGCACTATTTTTATATTCAAGCCGTCGGCAAATTTGATTCAAAACTCCTTTAGCTGATTTAATCATGCGAATAATTTTTCCATTTCCAGATTCAAATGTGTATCCGCTATGTGCCCACAACGGACCCCAGTTTATCACACTCTGAACTAAATGTAAAAGCTGGTGTACGTTGTAGGTCATGGCTGATTCACCATAATATTCTTCTGTTTTAGATACGAAGTCTTTCAATAATTTTTCCGCGCGTATCAAATTTGATAAAGTAATACGAGTACCGAGTAAGATATGAAGGGCTTCCACAAGTAGAGCCCAATGATGCGCATACTTTTTAAAATCGGGAATCGACTCTAATATCGGTAAGCTGAAAAATAAAAGCCAGTTTTCCCAGTCTCTCCCGTTCCAATGCTTTCGATCTGCTATAGGCCGTGTTAACCGAGCTACCTGTTTTGGAACTTGTATATTCAATAGCATAGAATCTATCAATTTTATTTTGTTTTTTATATAAAAAGGCTTACAGCTCTCTTCAAACCAATGATGTGAAAATTGTCGGCATATTCCTAAAATTATATGTAAAATATCGGGAACGAACCCTTCTACTAAATCAAAAAACGGCATATGAATTAGCGCCGACGTTTTTTTTACACCAAATACTGGTGCCTTTGTTGTTAATTTCTGCTCCATGTGAGCTAACATTCCATCGGAAGTTCGCTTTTCGGGCACGATATCAAGCAGTGGATATTTTATAACTTTTTTTTTTCACTTTTTACTGATTTTCCGGGATGAAGGCACCAATTGCATCCAAACCGTCCATTAAACTGAATTAGGCCTTGCGCTGGGGCGCGAGCGATTGTATCGACACAGCAGCAAATTGGGTATATTTTTATGTTTTTCAAGATACCATTAATTTTACATGGAATGGTTCTTTCATTGATTTTATTAATATTTTGAACAAACGCTTTTAAAAATATTTCCATATTTGGCTTCGATCTACCGAACCAGAGGGCACAAGTAACGGGATTATCAAATCTTACTTGTTGCGGCAATTCGTTGGCAACTATTTGGATCGGCCAGATTGAATATGTGGAATAATCAAAAGGTAGTGACCCGTCGGTATTAAACGTACAAGTAAGAAATAAATCCCTTTCGCTCAAAGATAACGATTTGACGAATTCTTTGTATTTGATTCCGTCATATATATCACGGAAAACTTGCGATCGTTCGCTATTATTCACTATTGAAATGTAATACTCGCCATGTTTTTCAACTAGATTTTTTAATTCTTTATCTACATTTATAAGAACAAAAAAATTCTTTTCCTTGACGGATATGTTGTTGTTGCACTTTTTACATATAACCGTCTTCTCGTTCGGATAAAATTGACGGATATAAGCATCACATTCTACACAATAAGCATGATATTCTAAGCCGTCTTTAGACCGTAATAATTGATCAAACCGGTAATGCGAATCGCGAAGAACGGGCGAGTTTACAAAATTATTTATCATTTTGCTCAAATCTTCAAGTGCCGAAATCGGCAAAAAATACTTTTCAGTAAACTTTACCATAGCAAACAAAATTTCGCTTTCAGTAACAACAAAACGTGTATTAATTACTTTATCTAGATTACCTTCACTTAATTTACTTTGAAGCTTGGAATCATCTTCTGGGGCTCCGCTTGACCAAAAATCTTCATATTCTGAATCATCGCTTTCGTTATCGTAACAATAAGTTTTCCCTAACCTATTAACCTGAAAAATAATTTGTTTGAAAAATTATTACAACTTAACAAGAAAAATCTTATTAAAAGTATGTGCACCTAGCTTTAACAATGAATGAATAAATTCTGTATTACATTGTATTGTATACAATAATGCAGAAATAATAGATAGAATCAAATAGTTATAGCCAACAACAAACATACTGATCAATAATTACTCACATCTTCTTCATTCCATCGCATAGCTGTAGAAAAAGGAGTTTCATAATTCTCAGTATCATATTCATCATCTATTAAATAATCTTTCAATAGACAATGCTCCTGGTCAAATTCCTGCAAAGTTTTGAGCATTTCTTCTTCCTTTGAGATTTGTTCACGTTTGTCCTTTGGTATAATAGGACTGCAGTGATTTGATTGACTACGATAATCAATTTTCCATTGAAAATGTTTTGCCAGTGAAGTGTTTGCCACAGGATTGATAATGTTATAAAATTCCTGTAATAGAAATAAAATATATAATAATTACAGTAGTAAATACAATAAAATCATATAATATTAATTATGTTATAACATAACATAATTGACATAGTATAATATTTTAATAGGTTATTACGAACAAGCTACATAAATAGTTCTATAAACACCTTTTCATCGTCGATACTCATATCGCTGTCAGAAATTTCATATTTGTGCTGATGTTTTGTAGATTTCGAAGGACTTATTCCTTTTTCTATGTATATTTTATACCTGCCTCTTTTCTTACGCCTCGTTGTTTGCTTGCTTTGTCTTCTCTTACCATTCATTTTATTTATTTTATAAGTACAACTCTCCTTTTTCAAAATATTACAAATTACTAAACATAGATAACCTGAAAACAGGAAATATAGTAATAAATATCACAGGAAATGTATTAATTAATCTATTAGAACATAATTTTTACATGACTTACCATTACGTTTCCATGAATGAAAGGCTTATTCGATATTGATTTGCAACCATATAAAGAATATAAGTAACAGGTACTTCAGTTTCCTACAGCGATTCTACATGTTTCATCTCAATTATTTAGTCCCTCTTTTTTTACATTTAGTGTAACGCACAGAGTTGTACTGCATTAATAAACCACAGTAGATGGTTCAATTTTCTGTGTCCATCTGCAATTAATAAATTACATTCAAAATTCAAGATCAATATGAATAGGTACAATATAGATAAAAAGTATCTTATGAATGTTTTACTCTTGCCAAAACATGAATTAGAAAGAACTTTTTACATGACAATCATAAATACTTGGAGACAGGAATTACGAAAGAGTTATAATATTGATAACAAGGTTACTTGCTACAAAATTAACGTAGAATCTAATAAAAAGAATTTAATGTAGCAGTTAACAATACTTTTTCTCTCCTGTTGTATAAGACAACAGTCATCATTTTCATTTTTTATAAAGCAAAAACGTGTATAAAGTTATATCTTACCTGGTTGATTATTTCAATAATAGCAATGCCATTGTAAACGATTTTATTTTATTTTGTTTTTACTTCAAACCGTTCCAACATCATTTTGTGTACAAAACAAAAACTTAACAAATGTGACATGTGACTGTGATGTATCAGCGTTAGTTTCGTTCCACCATCTTGCTTTACACACATATGCACGTATCCTCTCACGCGCGTCGGCACTCGGCTAAGCAACAGCTTATTTTGTAGTGGGAGCCTTGTAACCATTTTCACGGCGCAACAGCGACAACGACAAAATTGACGTTGTCTCTGCGCTTGTGATTAGCCAACTGTTTTGAAATCAACCAATTACAGGCATCATTCTGGTTCAAACGGACTGCACACTCGCTCAGTTTATGTGCATTCGGGTCTCAAGAATAAATGCTGCTGAACGCTGTGTACACACGCGGCGTTTGCCTTTGCTTGTGTGACTTTCTTAAAATGCGTAAAGTTTTGATCGAGTGCATTATTGCTTTTTACTTCCAGAAAGACAATTAATAAATATATGACTGTGCATCTCAATTTATGCTTGGAGTATATTGCTACACAATTGACTAAATAAAGGATCAACATTCATTATCATGTAAGTAGAATAATCAGCAGTTGAAAACAATTCTTCCTTTTGATCAATTTTATCTATAAATAAGCATTAATTTATAATATACTGATGTTCAGTATCTGCCATAATGAAATTCACTACAAAATATCAAATTTGACATTTACAGTGGTATAATTGACCACAGCAAAATGTATGTCTTCATTGCTTGACATGAGGTTTTTAATTTTCATATATTTTTCAGTGAAAATTATTATAAAGATCATACGATGTGACTCGAGATGCTACCAAGTCGAGGGACTGAGTGCAATTGTTGCAAAATTTGGAAGAAGAACTGTTTCAACAAGTAGAATAAGGTTAGAATACAGCTTCATTTTTTTATTGAATTTGGTAAAAAATCATAATGATATTTAAATAATTTATAACAAGATTATTCAAATATAATATTTACTTATTTCAATACAAATGTTATCTGTAATGTACGTATATTCATATACCTTGTATAGTCAGATACTTGGCTTTGCAAGTAAATTTTTTATCGAGCAAAAAAAAATATAAGATCTTTAATGATAATAAAATCAAAATAAATTGTGAAGAAGTATAGTAAGATAGGCTTAAAGTCTGTCTAGCATGGTAGATTTTTTTAAAAGAAGTATTCACTAATATATTATTTTTTCAACAGAATTTATATTTTATAGAATTATTAATAATGGCTGAAATCACATATGCTTGTGTATTTAACATTGAGTCAGAGGAATTGGAGATTGCAAAAATCAGTGATATTAAGCATTTTACACCAAAGACTTACAGAGATTTTGATGTCTACACACCGTATATTATACAAAAAGGCAGAAAAATTGATGAAGTAGAGATTGTTGCTGTTGGAGGTACTCGATTCATGTTTTGTTTACATGTATTTAAGTTAATATACTAAACTTGTACATTGTTTTTTTCAGATTATAAAATGATGAATGTTATTATGAATGTAACTGCTGGTTCTAAACTAACTCATGCTGTGGTACAATGGATGTATAACCAAACGTTTGAAGTTATCAAAATCTGTGATATTGAAGAATTTAAATCTTTTGTGCCCTTATACCCTACGAGATTTGATTGTTCAAAATCGTATCATGTGAAATGTAGCAACAATAATTCTAGCAATAATAATTCTTTTGAGGAAGTGTACATACAGGCGTTTGGTGGTAAATATTTTTCATTCTACATTTCAATATTTTTTAGCTTCATAAACTAAGCTTATATAATACTTGAAATATTGACTGCTGTTTGGCACTCTTCTCAACATTTAAAAATTTTGTAAATTTCGTTTTTATCACGATTTTATAATTTTTGTAGATGAAGGCGAGATGGAGAGTCTGTATAGATCATTATTAGAGTCTCCCACACATGCCGTAATAAGATACATCGATACTGGGAGCATTGTTATTTTACCGTTGAATGATGTTGTAAATAACCTATGGCCCTTTAATCACTCACTGGATTTTGACCAATACGCTATTTACGAATCTTACGATTCTGAGGGACTGTTAAGAGATATACAAATTTTTGCAGTAGGACGTATGTATATTTATATGTTCAATTCAAGAAATTTTTTTTTATTTTTCAATTTGATAGTTTTGTTTATTTTTCAATTTGATGAGAACATTTATTCATCAATTAATACTAACTTATATTTTTATAGTGTTAGATAATTGCAACCATTTGCTGCAACAGTTTCTGAATATGACTCATGCTCTTGTCAGGGATATTCGACATGAGAAACAATTGATTGTGCAAGTCGATCAGATTAGTGAATTCTTAGAATCTCCCAGAAAATCCAGAAAAAGAGGAAGACTTTGAACCAAAGAAACCATACACATTAATTGATCAACGTAACCATAAACGAACCGCCATTGAAATTTATGCAATTGGTCGTATGTATGCATTTCTTAAACATGAATTTTCGCATGATGGTATTTTATAATTCGTATTTATGAATTTTTCAGATGAAAAAACACTGATTTTTGAATGTCTACATAAATCCAAACGTTTTAATAAAACTAAATTTAATAATAGTGATTTGGAATCGAAAGAATCAACTTTACAAAACAGGAATAGTTCTCTGCATGGTGATAAGACCACCAATAAAAAGCAGGTACGTTTAATTACAACAGTAAGTTTTTTTCAATAATAGCTGACCTGTTAACGATGATGACTACATTGATTTTTTTTCTAGTCTTCTACAAATCGGAAAATTATTAAAACTGCTCAAACTCGTAAACCTTTGGTTAAGCGAATTGACATTCTAAAAAAGAATAACACGCTAAATTTCAGCGTTGACAATGATGACACACAAAATTCTGAAATAGTTAATAACGATTCTGGCTATAATGGTGGGAGTGACATTGGTGAATCTGACAATGAAGGTGATAATGAATTGGATGAAGACACGGAAGCATTAAGAGCTCGAATCCAAAATGCACAAAAAAGTAATCAGAATAAATATATACCGGTGTCACCCAAACGTGCTCCTACAGTTTCTTGCTCGACTACTAGAAAAAATTTATTTGATATTGGTAATGTTGATTGCAATATGGAAACAATATATGCACATTGTATTTTTTATTTCTAGTAATAATTAAATTATTACAGACGAACGAGAACCAAGTCATACTCACAAGCCCAAAATGAACAACAGCCGAATGGTAGGACGAAAATTTTCACATCAGTCTGCCAATGGACAAAACCAAGGAACCAGGACGCAATCACGAAAGAATCGCTTCTCCTTGAAACGTAAATATCCCGTGAATCGAGACAGACATCGAGTTCAGCGACCAGATGAAGAGGAATTTTACAGTAATTATTGGTCTGATTCTGACATAGGAGAAACAGAATTAAAAGTATTTGAAGAGTGGTCAGATTGTGACGAGGACGACAATGTAAGTGTGACAAAAATTATATTTCTACGTAATTTGAAATGAGGATATTCCTGTGTTTAGTCTTGTTTTATAATAATGTAAATACTTTTTACAGGTAACTGAAATGATCCACATTGGGTGGAATCATTCAATTGCCCGAAAGTCTTGGAGGAATATTAAAAAATCGAAAAATCCAAGTCTCTTTGCAAAAAATTTATCTTGAGCTCTTTGGGGAGAGGAAATTATAGATAAGGCCATTGAAGTGAAGGATAATTTCATGAAATCTGTCA